ATACAATTAATTAGTTATGAAAGTATTTGGATTATTTTTATTATTGTTATAATCAATTAGTAGTGATATTAAATAATAAATTAGTTTAAAATTGTCATTGTACTTTATTAATATAAAATGTAACGTTTCTAAATGAGTTTTTTTTTTTTTTAATTGCAAAACATTAAGTTGAATTATCTGTATCACGAATTAAAAATGAAAAAAAAAAATTATCATTGATGCAATTTTCGATTGCAGAGACAGGCTCGTTCGTGTTACAGAGCAATCGCGCTCGTTCACACTAGGGGCAGTACCGTAATTAATCAGTTCAGTACAGCGGCGCGTTCACACTAGAGTGTGAACGCGCCGCTGTACGTTCAGTACGGCGCGTTCACACTAGGGGCGGTACCGTAATTAACCAACTCAAGTGTGAACGCGCCGGGACGAGGTACTGAACATACAGCGGCGCGTTCACACTTGAATTGGTTAATTAGGACGAGGTACTGAACATACAGCGGCGCGTACACACTTGAATTGATTAATTACGGTACCGCCCCTAATGTGAATGCGAAAATCGCATCAATGGTACTTTTTTTTTCATTTTTAAGTTGAATGGTTTTTTTTGTTTTGCTAAACTTCAGTTGAATGAGTTTTTTTTTTATTCTAACGTCCAATTTATAACAAATTATTTTGAATATATAATATAATAATTTATAATAATATTATTTTATAAAAAAAAATGGTGTCCGGCCGGTCTGACCGGTCAATGGTACTTTTTTTCTTTTCATTTTTAAGTTGAATGGTTTTTTTTTGTTTTGCTAAACTTCAGTTGAATGAGTTTTTTTTATTCTAACGTCCAATTTATAACAAATTATTTTGAGTATATAACATAATAATTTATAATAATATTATTTTATTAAAAAAAAACATGGTGTCCGGCCGGTCTGACCGGTCACGACCGGCCGTCGAGGCCGGATGCCATTTGAGCCGTCCGGTTTCGGCGGCCGGACAACAATATTTTTTTTTTTTTACTTTTTGAAAAAAAATGGCAGGAACAAAAATGTCCAAGGAACGGTAAATAGTAATAGGAGGGACGGTGAATAGTAATCCCCGAATGAAATAAAAGATCAAAGTTGAAAAGATAAGGAAAAGAATATGTTATTGGTAGAAAATAGTAGTAAATAAACAACAAAAATCTAATCGTATGTCGAACCCCTTAGACACAAATCGATAGCACAAACATCTTAGCCACCACTAGGTAAAAACCAAAACACTTCCCTGAGTAGGAAAAATAAATTGAATGAACGATATCTGGAAAGCAGAAAAGGATGGAATAAATTAAAATTAGAATTATAAGGAAAAAAATAAGATAAATAGTAGGAAAAGGCACATGCTTACCGATACTTAATAAATATCTGGTCTAATCTATAGCCACAAATAAAATATGTCGAAAACTGAAATTAAATCCCAATCCAAGTCATCTACCATGGTAAAACAAAGAACTTGGATGAGAATAAAAGAAATGATAAAGTTTAACAATCGAATTCAAAAGTCAAACCAAGTCATCCCGTAAAATAAGGCAACAAATTCAATGGACCATAAAGATAGCACAGCACAAGAAAACAGAACAAAAATACAAGGTTAAACAAAAAACGAAATAAATACATCATTTAATTAGTACATGACAGAGCTTAAAAAATCGAATTGAACGTTCAATCCATTAACCACAACAACCAAATTCAAAGAGCAAATCAAAGGTAGGCAAGAAATTGGATAAATTATATTGGTAGCACAAGAAAACAGTACAAATCAAAGTTAAAAGCATAATAAAGAAAAAACATAGGGCTTTAGTAGAAAAACGATTAGTGTGCATAAACAGAACTAAAACGAATTAAATGAATGTTCAACTCCGTAGCGACAAACAAGTAGCAAAAATGAATTCAAAGCCCAAACCAAGTAGTCAGTCCCCAAGGTACGACGGAGAAATCAGATGAACATTTGGATAGCGTAGGAGAAGAAAACAAAATATCATAGTTAAAAGGATAAGGGAAAAACATAACTCATTAATAGGGAAACATAAGTACATAGAAGNAAAATGAATTCGAGAAACCATATTAGGAGCACAAGTCCATGAATATAAAGGGTCATCGCTAAGAAAATATTAGGACATAGACCAAATTGAAAAATACAATAGAATGTTCAACCTCTTAGCTGCACAATAGAATTTAAAACCCCAACCAAGCCGTCCCTCAAGGTAGGGCAAGTAAATTGGATGGCCTGTATTAATAGCACAAGAGAATAGAACAAAAAATCAATGTTAAAAAAATAAGGAAATGAAGTGAACTATTCTAGGAAAATATTAATATATAACAAGAGTTTAGCTACCACAACCAACACAAAACTACATTCTCCTCAAGTTACACTTGTTCACAATTTTGTGCAACAAATACTCAAAAAGCACCACATTTCTCATCATACACTGCTGAGTTTGCCACCAACCAACAACATTCCTTTCTATAGGAAAAAAAAAAGAACCTCACAAGAATCCATCAGCACAGAAAAAAACTCAGACTACAAGAAACTCCGAATCCGTAAACTAAAAATAAAAAAAACACATTCCGAGTTCACGAATCCACAATTCTACAATCCTGATCGACTTTACCAACCGCCTCAAGTATCGAAGAATACGTTATCCGGTCATACTCAAACCCGACCGAATTCATCTCCTTCATCAACTTCGCTGCTTCCCCAAACATCCCTGCCCGACTAAAACAGCCCAACACCGTGTTATAAGACACAACATCCGGCTTCATCTCCGATCTCTTCATCTCCTCAAACATCTCCACCGCCCTCCCGGGCCCACCCGTCCGAGCCAACCCATTAAGGATAATATTGTACGAGTTGAGGTCCGGAGAACACCCTTCCCCCTCCATGGCCCGTATCAGGGACCGGGCCTCGTCCGTCAGGCCCGCTCTCACCATCCCCGACATTAATGCATTGTACGCGTACACGTCAGGAGGGCAATTCAGTCTTTTCATCTCGTCAAAGAGCTCGACTGCCTCCTTCATCCACCCACACCTCCCGAAATGCTTGATCATGACTGCGTACACACGGGCGCTCGAGGGCCCACAATTTTCCCTCAGCTCCTGAAAAAGCTCGCGGGCCGCATCATACCTTTTGGCCCGGCCCAATGCATTGATCAAGCTGCAGTAAGCTGCCGGGCAAGGGGGAAAGCCCTTTTCGTCCATCTCCTCTAGCATTAGCAGAGCTTTTTCCAAATTGTTTTTCTTGCAAAACCCGTCTATCAGAATCGAGTAAGTGTACGAGCTGGGATCGACGCCGTCGGCTTTCATTTTCTCGTACCAAGCCAAGATTTCGGATATCGAGGCCCTCGACCCAAACAGGGCCTTAATTATGGTGTTGTAAGTCACCACGTTCGGCGTACACCTCCAAGACTCCATTTTTTCGAAAAGCTTGATAGCGTCGGCCAGGCGGCCCCCACGGCTCAATAAATTAACCACGTTGTTTATGAGGACGACGTCTGGCTCACAGCCTTCGTCGAGCATTTTCAAGAAAACTGAATAACCTTCTTCGACTCTCCCAGCTGAGCCGAGCCCCCTTATCAACTCCGTGTACGTGTATACAGTAGGCGCGCAGCCTTTATCTCTCATCTCTTTTACTAAACCTATGGCCCTCTCCACCTGACCTAGTTTAAAGAAAATACCCAACAGAGTCGTGTATATTTTCGCGGTGGGGTACAAACCATTGTCTTTCATTTCCTCAAACAGCCTAATGGCTGACTCGTCACGGCCCAATTTCGCAAATGCTGATATAAGGGCACTGTAAGTTACGGTATCGGGAAAACAGTTACCTTCGCTACACATCTCGTTGTACAGCTCGTGAACGTTGTCGTGATGGCCTTCTTGCATGAGCATCATGATTATGGAGTTGTACGTGCCAGCTGTCGGAATGCATTTTCGGTTTTTGACTTGGTAGAAAACCGAGAGGGCTTTGTTCACCATCTTGGCCCGGCCCAAGAGTTTTACAATCTCTGAGAGATGAGCCGGGTCAATCGCACATGGGCCTCTGACCATTTGTTGGATGACTTTCCACATCCCGCCAGGAAGGCCCGATTGGTCGAGGCAGTGGATTAAGGCCATGTAAGTCGAGCAATCGTGCTCGAAGTTCCTTCTCTTGCCGGCCCACTTGAAGAACTGAAGCTTCACGTTGATTTCGACATCAACCTGCAAGACCTCACAAACCAATCTGTGATCGACTTTTAGTTTCAATACGTCGAGGGCCTTCTCGGAATCTGGGCCCCACTTAAATATCTTCAAGATTCTTATGAATCGCTCGTCCAGCGTTCTTGAGGATGGAATTCTCCTTGTTGAAAGATGGTTTCGGGATTTGGGCTCGTCGTCTTTTGGGGCTCCCGAACTGAACATTTGGACGATTTCATTTTCTGCACAAATGAGAAGTAGTTGATTTTGTACAATTCCAAGTCCTCATCTCATTACATAATTTACATTTCGTAAGAATATCTGAAATACTGAAACAGAATAAGCAAAACATGATCTCCAAAACAACTGAAAGAAATGCAGATACACATCGCCGGATAAAATGGAATAAAATTGCATCAAAATAGTAAATATCTGCAGTAAACAAAATTTGGCACCTGTCTGCTTGATTCTAACAAATAAACAACAGCAAGTGAAAATTCCTCTCGCCGAGCCAACGGATGTGGCCGCCAACATCCCTCGAACCTTCATCGACTGAATCTTGAATTACCTGAATAAAATGTCCTGAAAAAACCCAAAAGGCGCACACCCAGAGATCAAAATGGTTTCTCATATGTTTAAAATGCGAAAACCAACCACAGATTATAGTTAATTTAAGCATCCGATAGCTGTTCTTACATCTCTATTTCTCGATAATCTTGTTTCTTGTGCTTTTTGGCAAGATAAGGTTTTTCAGAATCGTAGAAAAACAGGAAGAAAAATGAATCGAAAATATCACGAACACAATCGATGAAAAATGAAGCAAAATACCAAGAATTTTTCTGTGTTCGCGAGCGGCTCTGCGTTTGCGATAGGTGCTAATAGAATAAATTGCTATTACCCCCTCGAACTGACTCAATATGTCACTAAACGCCTTTTCACGTACAATAAAATGAAACGGGTCGGGCAAGTCCTATTAAAGCAGGCCGATTCAGAAACATGATGCTTGTATATGTTACATACAAGAATTTTAACTTAACCAAGGCCGGTTCAGCAGGTTATACCACAGATAAGTGTAAACCATTCTTCGAAGCTATTAAGAAGTACAAGCAGTTCGAGTGGACGGACGAGTATCAAAAAGCCTTGGATCAGATCAAGGATTCACTCGTCCGGTCGCCCGTCCTACAGAAGCCAACCCCCGGAGAAATGTTATACTTATACTTAGGAGTGACCTCGACCGCGATAAGTGTTGTGCTCGTTCGAGAGGAAGGTTCCGATCAACATCCGATTTATTACGTCAACAAGGCGTTACACGAGGCCGAAGTTCGTTACCCGTCAATTGAAAAGCTTATCTTCGCGCTGATAACCGATTTAGAATGAAATAAAAGATCAAAGGTGAAAGGATAAGGAAAAGAACAGGTTACTGGTAGAAAATATCAGTAAATAGACAACAAAAATTTAATCGTATGTCGAACCCCTTAGACACAAATCGATAGCCCAAACATCTTAGCCACGACTAGGTAAAAACCAAGACACTTCCCTAAGTAGGAAAAATAAATTGAATGAACCATATCTCGAAAGCAAAAAAGGATGGAATAAAATAAAATTAGAATTATAAGAAAAAAGTAAGATAAATAGTAGGAAAAGGCACGTGCTTACCGAAACTTAATAAATATCTGGTCTAAAAATCTATTTGAATGTCAACTCCTTGGCCAAAAATGAGTAGCAAAACCAAATTCAAAGCCCACACGAAGTCATCCCCCAAGGTAGGGAAAAGAAACCAGATTAACCAGATTAACCATATTGATAGTGTAGGAGAATGGAACAAAATATGGAAGTCAGAAAGGAAAAAAAGATTCAATAGTAGTGAAAAATTAGTAAATAAACAAGTAGATTCTGATGAAATGCAAAGTTGATGGAAGGCAAAAAGAATTAAGTGGAAATTTGACAGTTGAGATAATCCAAAAGTCCAAGATCCGAAAGTCCAGTAGAAATAAATCGTATGAAACTAGATGATGTAATTTATAATCAAAACAGTAACCACAGGGTGAAAGAGTTCTGCTATTGTCAAAAAACTGATGCACAACAAGGTTTGGACCGTCATAATTAAGGCAGCAAGTAATATACCACACTCATAAACACTGGATCTCGCTCACATAAAGCACTAAGGCATCAAATTTTCCCAGATCAAACAATTGTATAACAGGAAGAAATTACAAATAACCAATTAACAATGCCAAAAAAAAAGAAACAATTAACTCAAAATCACCTACGACTAATTTAAAAGAACAAAAAGAAGAATAAGTAACCTGGCTTGAATTGGATTCAAAAGACTTTAATCGCACCGTAATTTGTTCAACGTTATTGAAATCTTCCTGCGTTCTTCAATCGCAATTTTGACCCGTAACTTTGTTTTCCCAGAAGACCCAGAATCTGGACAATACAAAACGAACGGGGACTTCAGAATCGGAGAAGAAAAAATACGGCTACGGATATAAACACTTCAAAAGCCGAACGCCACAAGTACACAACAAACAACTTACCTTTTTCCTCTGGTCAAATTTCTTGCCCATCTTCGCCTGCTGGTAGTACAAGGCGATCAGATATCTATCGGCAACGCTGAATCCCGAATGGTGGTCGACGGCGGCCTCGGCGTCGAATATATCGACGAACGCCAAGAAGGCGGTGCCGCGCGCGTCTTTGTTCGTGCCGATGCGGGTCTGACTTGCGGTTATGGGCAGGTTACGAGCGTAGAAGACGTGGTTGACCTTCGACAGGAAGCGAGTGATTGTACTGCGAGTGATTGTACTGCGGAGGCGTAGGCCTATCTCCAACCGAAAAACTCATACTCAAACTCATTTTGTACTAACTGTCACATTTTGCAGTAATTTATCTCCAACCGAAAAACTCATTTTCAATCCCAAAAAAATATTCTCACACATCAAGTTTTATAAGTTTTCAATACTACCCCACATATTTAATAATTCTACACATTTAATCCAATATTATTTTATATTTGATTTGAAAAATATATAATAATTTATTATAGATTGATAATTCGTACATATGTAAAATATTGGAATACATATTTTTTCAGTTATATTTTTCATATTTTAGTTTATTATATACATCTAATTTGTATTTCATGGTTTATAATGTTATTTTTCATTGGTAAGAAAATTTATTATATATATATATATATTCTTTATGTTAGTATTTAATTTATGAAAAAATAAAGGATAAATATTAGTACGTTAATATATTTAAAAAGAAAAAGATAAATATGACAATTATGTAAATAAATCATAATGAACAGAATACAATATTACATAGGCAATAAATTTGTTAGAATACTGAACGACTCCCATAAATTTTCTTATCTAAGTTTAGATAATTAATTTTCTTCATTTGAAGAATTATTTATCTTTTTTTTTCTATTATTGTCCAATTATGTAATTAATAACAAACATGGGTGTGAGATTGCAATTTAAAAATTACAAACGCAAATTTTGCGTTGAAACGCATATATGCGTTTATTTGATGAGAGAGAGTGAGCAAAACGCATTTTGAGTTTGCGTTTGGTGTTCGGTTTGATCAATTTATCTCCCTCATTTTGCGTTTTGGGGTACGATTGGAGTTGATCTTAGTGCGGCAAAAGACGGATAATTTGAGAGATTTTTCTGAACATTTGGGGATTGGTAATTTGGTTTGGGGGCAAAGTGAATAAGTGATTAGGGATCTTTCCTTAAAAACAATTATTACTCATCTACTTTCCTTAAACATCCTTTCACTTCATTTATTACACAACGGAAACAAAATGCTAAATAATAAATATGTTTCGTGCACACGAATCTATACTTATATAATAAGAATTAACATTTATCCAAAACAGTAGGTCAAATTATGGTCAATGTCGGATTTGCATTAAAGATTTTCCAAAACCGATAAGTTTTTGTCATTTTCACACTTTTCATTAATTATGTCTTTTTCACACTTCTCATTAATTATGTCCTTTTTCACACATCTAATTAAATCACTCCATATGAGCTTTTATCGTTAAAATGTATAGCGATCTGTTATGACCTTACCCCATTGATATTTCCATGCGTCCTTATCGCGTTCTATTTTTTGGTAACCACTCTATATCAATAATCGGATATTTGGTTAATGATAGCACACGTCTTTATTTCAAGGAGCGGATATTCTTTGACCTTTAGTTAATCTGAACTGATTGCCTTGACTTTTCAATTTTTAAAAACTCTTTTTTTATCGCACGTTGGTCTTTTCCTGAAGAAACCCGTTTTTAGTCACGGCCAATTATATGTTGCTGCTTCGCGTGTAAATAATAGATGGGGGTTGAAAATATTAGTTTGTGATAATGAGGACTTGCCAAATAATCAAACTCATAATGTTGTGTACAATGAGGTTTTTAATAATTTATGATTGTTACCGAACTTTTTATGATTCAACAATGTTCCTATGTATTTTAATGATTTCAATTTCCATCCTAATGCACGTGAGATTATATTATTCTTCCAAATTTTACATCTCGTGCATCGCACGGGTTACGTACTAGTATCTACTAAAGTTAATAAATCAATTAATATAGAAAAAATATATTTACTTTAAATAATAATAAAATATTACGGGAAAAAGATAATTTAATTAAAAGATATTGATTATTGGCGTGATTTGTTACCAACATCATCCGTACTTATTTCATGGGAAAAAGATAATTTGATTAAAAGATTTTGATTAGTATTAGCTAACTATTAGCGTGATTTGTTACCAAAGTCATCCTTACTTACTTCATTAAATCAGTCGCAAAATATGAACTAGATAAGTTTGTTTATTTCTATTAATTCGAATCACGCGTGGTACGCGAATAAGAATATTCATCGATATTTATAGATAAAAAATGCTCATTAAATAATATTTATACATTAAAAATATGAAATCAATATATAATACAATTGGTGTTTAATTTATTAAAATGATATATAAAATTAAAATTGTGCAAAATTACATAAAACATGTTTATTTAAAATTAGTATACAGCCGTACTGAGCATGTAACTGATTATAAATTACATTATATTCATTTCACAATAAGTGTCATTTTAAAATTTTTATTCAAAAATTCTATTTGACTACAATGTGATTATATAAAATAATTACCCAGTGGACGGCCGCTTAAGTTTCTTTTTCCTAATTAACGATAAAATATGTTTGATACCAAATTAAACTTTACCTTTCCACTTGAACGAGATTTTTAGTTTCTTAATAACACTTTTCCAGTGTATTCATCTTCTCCATCCCAATTAAACTCGTTCAATTTCTCTCCTTTCTTTACTTATCACTTCACAGAATCACACGCACACACTAACACTTCATATCTATACAATCTCCCGTCCCGTATCTTGTTCTGTGTTCTTATTAGATCGGTCGGAATGGCAATCACCAGAGAGAGGTACAACAACCAAGCTTGGCGGACATCGATTCGGGCCGCTAACTCGATTTTTGGGGTCCGTCGAGTACAGATTCGGGCCGCGATCAAGTTTGAGGGTTGGGTTGTCGGACCCAGTTATCGGCGGCGATTTCGATGGCTCCGATTTTGGCGTCCACCAACGGCGATGCGAGGGACAGAGGTAGATCTAAGTTATAAAAATGTTCTATATTATAATTAGGGTTGCTCACAACGAAATTTCGGGCGTTAGGGTTAGAATTAGGAACAGAGGTTGATATATGTTTTATGAGAGCTCCATAGTATACCTGCAACTAAACTATGCTTGGACACTTTTTTTTTTTTGTGTTCTATATTTCTTATTTCATCGTATTAAAGATTCTTTGAATTGGTTGTGTTAGTATGTGGGCATCAGATCTCGATTATTACATCTGGGTGAATATCACACTTCAGTGCTCATTGATCTGGGGGTATGTAATTTATTTGTGTTTTGAAATCTGAGAGTTAGATTGATTATTACTAATTGTTAGATTATGATTATTAAATTTTTTTTGTCTTATTTGTAGTTTATATTTAGTTTTATTTTGGTTTTTTTGTCAATTTTTTTTTCATGATTTTGAAAATAAAAAAAAAAAGATAGATAACAAACTTAAGATAACACACTATATTTAGTTTTATCTTGTACATGTTTTTTTTTTTTTTGTCAAATTATTTTTCGTGTTTTAGTAAAAAAATAGATAATAAACTTGAGAAAAATTAAAAGTTTTAAGTTTGTTTTTAATAAACTATAAAAATAATGTAACAAACATAAGATAAACTACAAATAAACTAAAAGGTTTACATAAGATAAATTACAAATAAACTACAAAATAAAAGTTTTAAGTTTGTTTTTAATAAACTATAAAAATAATGTAACAAACATAAGATAAACTACAAATAAACTAAAAGGTTTACATAAGATAATCTACAAATAAACTACAAATATACAAATATTAAGCCGCAAAAAAATAATAAATTCAACAATTTTTTTTTTCCTTTTTGTTTCATTTAAAAATGGTTTATAATCTTATTAGAAAATCAGTGACTATAAAATAAATAAAAAAAAATCCATTGAAACTAATAGTCAACCAATAGAAAACTCAAAATACACCCCCAATATTGTTTATGAAGAGTTTGTTTTTCGATTATGTTGCATTAATAAAAAAAAATGTAGTTTGCCTTTTTTTGTTTACCTAGTGAATATTTATGGTTTTTTTTTTCGATCTAGTGAATATTTATGGTTTATTTAGTGGATGTTTTTATTTATTTCTCATTTTGGTTGATTTGTGATATAAACTTACTCTACTTTTGAGAGTTGATAAGAAAAATTATGGTATAAACATACTCTACTTTCTCATATGGTATGTTTATTTAGTGATTACTTTTGAGGTTTTCTTTAATTCAAATTTAAATGTGGTTGATATTTTACACTTGACTCAATTCTGCAATTGAATTAATATGAGAAGAATTCAAAAAACAAAATATTGAGAGCTGATAAGAGAAGGATATGAGAGAAAATAGTTTTAAAATGTGGTTTTTTATTTTTTTATATAGAGAATAATTAAGAATCGAGAGATAGATTCCATCAATTTTTTAGGAATGAGGTTAGACATACCATATGCTTCTATTTCCTGAAGAGAGAAAATAAAAAGTGACGCATTACCTGATGAAAGCAATACCATATATGAATTATAAATTACAATGGAGCCTCCTGTTTGGGATTTGAACAATAGTCTCATTAATGTGTGAAACTTATATTTGTCACGGAGTGCGCGAATAGTTGTACGAACTATAATAAGAATTGTAAAAATGCGGAAGCAAACAACCGAAGATTAATAAACTCTTCAGGGAAGCATCCCACTTCCCCTCAGAGCTCTTTCATTGATAGATCACTCATATACATAGTTTGGACTTACAAAGACTCGAACTCCCTTCAAATCTAGCCAACACTACTTGATCCTATCAACTAATTCTCCGGCCACGTCCCGTGGACTTATAAAACTTACACTTACTCCCTAAGTGTATAAACCGTAAAATAGTTTTGATGAATGAATAAAGAACTAATCGAAAACAGTACCAGTCCTTGAGTTTGTAAGAACTCTCAGACTGAACTGAATACAACCAAAATAGAACTGTAAGCAAAATGAAGCTTAAATGGCTCTCGAATATTTCTCTGTAAAAAATCCCCAGCCGCCATAAGCTTCTTCTAGGGTATTTATATGAACTCCTTTTAGGGTTGGAGTCTTCTACAAGGCATAGGACTTCAAACAAGATTTACTTCCAAGGATACCATATCTTTGGTAAGTAAATCTTCTTTTCTCTCTCTTTGATCTCCTCTCCAAGCATGTCTCTTTTCTTCCTCTTCCTTCTCTCCTCACGAGCAATTCCCTGTCATTTCCAAAACCATAATAAGATCTACACGGACCTATATAAGGAATATAAAATAATATTACTTAAGGAAACATAATATACAAGGATCTTCCCTTTTATTCTGTGGTTCCAGGTGCTTGTTCGAACTAACGAACTAATGCCAAAATAAAATATCTTTCAATGTGTAAGTGAGAAAATAAAAGGTGTCATCTATGTCCTTTCGCCTTTTATATATGTTCTTTGTACGTAATAGGCCGGTAACGGATTGTTTCTTTTCTAATCAACAAGTGGGCTAGCGCCTAGCAGGCCTCACAGTGATTAGTAACTCAAGCCCATGCTTTTGAATTCCCATGGCTTAAAATCAGTTTATGTGATTTGGTTTTGTAAATTACACCTCATTTTACTTGTAGTTGAAATTTATCTTTTAGGTAAAAAGAGGTGATTACAATAAATACAATTCACGTATTTTTGCACTAAAAAATTTTCATACTACAAAATTTGTAGTCTAAAAGTCGCTAGGCGGCTGCTAGCGCTCGATCAGTGCCTAGCGCCTAGTTGGGGCCTAGGCGGCGCCTAATCGGGGCCCAGAAATCAATATTAAATACTTTATTTTTTATTTATTTTAACTACTAACAAAATAAAACTATCCCAACTTATAATAAATTCACACACCAAAGTCCAAATAATAATATTAATATATATTAAAAAAAACATGAGAACAAAATAATGTAATTAGTATTTAAAAAATAAAAAAAAATAAATAAAAGCTGAAAAATTGCCGCCGAGCCCGCCTAGGAGCGCCTAGGTCCACCTAGCCGTCTGGCAAATTTTTTTTGCCGATTTGTACAAATCGGAGGCGCCCGGGCACCACCTAGCGCTTAGGCCGATTTTTAGAGCAAAGCTACAAATAGAAAGTAAAATTTATTCACAAAAGAAATTATTTATATATTTGATTTGATATCTCTAGCCAGATTTTGTTTTTTTATTTATTTACTTACCATAATTGAGAAGCCGAACTTAAATCATGATATTAAAATTCAGGTTCGAGTCTTTCTCGAACTGAACTGAATTCTTCTTGGTAAATTAATGACACGATAAAACAAGTTCAAAAATTCAGAAAATTATTTAAAAATCACTATATCATGTACGAAAAATATTATATGAGCTCAAATTTGACTTATTTATCACAAACTTGAACTAAACTTGCTAGCGATTCGTTTTGTCTAAGAAAGAACATTAGCCGGAAATATTGGCTACAAGTATCATCTTGTTCATGTAGAAAAATACTCAGAATGTGCTTGTGTCCCCCAAGAGAAGAAATTAAAATATCTGACATTTTTTTTTTTTTAAAACAAACAATCTAATTATCCCCGTCAAAATATACGGAAAAATTAATGGGAGAACATTCTCTCTCAAAAAATATGTCTAAAATAAATAAATTAGTCCAAAAATAAAGTGTCCATAGAATTTCTGCTCTTCAGTTTTCGTAGAAGCAGACGTTCACCATAGCTCAAATTCGTTTCTTTGCACTCCAAAATCATATAATAATTCATATTTTGCAAGCTCCAATATTTTCTACAAAAATAGTGAGAATCAATTAAAATCCACAATTCAGCTCAAACAAACATAAAAGATGGATGAAAAACATGACATGTGTTGTAAATTGGGATCCTCAAGCATTCATCAATCCACACCAAACAAAGTAAAGAGAAACGAGCGAGAGAACAAGAGACAGAAGAGCAGAAAAGTCTATCTTTTATTCATCGTATATCACCCTTATATAGGGTTTACAAGTGGGAAGCCCTAAAACCTAATTCTCCTAACTAATGGACTTCAGGCCCAATTCTATATTAGTAATGTCTACATTCCTATATTTATAACACTCCCCCTTGGACATTACTACATGTCTCATTAAAAACCTTGCTAATAAAAACCCGCCAAGGGAAAAAAAAATTAGTCAAGGAAAAGAGTACATGGTTTATAAAAATTCATGTGTTATACTAGCTGCCTCATCAAAAACCTTTAACTAATAAACCCAATGGGAAAAACTTAGTTAAGGAAAAAAGAGTACAGCATTTGGTCTTCAGGACCTAATCTTCAGGATTATTTTGAGTTTGTCCCTCCCCCTGAAGACAATAGTCTTCCAAGTTTACGCATACCAATACCATAAATATATTTTTCAAAAGTAGATGTAGGAAGGGACTTGGTGAATAGATCTGCCAAATTCTCACTAGATCGTACTTTTTGTACAATAATTTCACCGCTCTTCTGGAGCTCGTGTGGGTAAAAGAATTTTGGAGCAATGTGTTTTGTCATGCTTCCTTTGACGTACCCACTACTCATTTGTAAAACACAAGCTGCATTATCCTCGTAAAGGACAGTGGGGGTTATATCATTTGTAATTCCACATGACTCACGAATATGTTGGATTAAAGATCTTAACCATACACATTCTCGTGAAGTCTCGTATAAAGCAATTATTTCTGAGTGGTTTGAAGATGTAGTAACCATGGACTGCTTAACTGACTTCCAAGATATTGCAGTACCACCACAAAGAAAAACATAACCAGTCTGTGATCTAGCATTATGGGGATCAGACATATAACCAGCATCCGAATAGCCCACCAATGTTATATCTTGATTTTTCTTATAAAGTAAACCAAGATCTTGTGAACCTTGAAGATACCTAAAAATATGTTTAATACCATTCCAGTGTCTCCTCGTAGGAGAAGCACTAAACCTTGCTAGCAAGTTTACTGCAAATGCAATATCAGGCCTGGTGCAATTTGCAAGATAAAGTAATGCGCCAATGGCGCTCAAGTAAGGAACTTCTGGTCCTAAATTTTCTTCGGTATCTTCTTTAGGTCTAAATGGATCCTTATCCGCTTCAAGGGACCGGACAACCATTGGTGTGCTAAGTGGATGAGATTTATCCATGTAGAATTTTTCTAAAACCTTCTTCAAGTAGGTTGACTGGTGTACAAAAATTCCTTCAGGGAGATGCTCGATCTGCAGGCCGAGGCAATATTTGGTTTTACCCAAATCTTTCATTTCAAACTCCGTCTTTAGGCATGAGCTAGCTTTATCAAGCTCCTCTCGTGTGCCAATTATATTTATGTCATCAACATAGACTGAAATGATGCAAAAACCATTCGATGACTTCTTTATAAACACACAGGGGCACACGTCGTTATTCACATAATTATTTTTCAATAGAAACTCACTCAGCCGGTTGTACCACATTCTACCCGACTGCTTTAAGCCATATAATGACCTTTGTAATTTAATGCTATACATGTTGCGTGTTTCATTTTCCCTTATTTCGGGAACCTTTAATCCTTCAGGGATTTTCATATATATATTAGTGTCTAATGACCCATATAAGTATGCGGTCACGACATCCATTAACTGCATATCTAAATTCATAGTTACTGCCAGGGATATCAAATAGCGGAACGTTATTCCATCCATTACAGGAGAATATGTTTGATCAAAATCAATACCGGGTCTCTGCGAAAACCCTTGAGCAACTAATCTCGCTTTGTATCTCACCACCTCATTATTTTCATTTCTCTTTCGTACGAACACCCATTTATATCCTACTGGGATAATATTTTGAGGTGTACGCGCAATAGAGCCAAAAACTTTTCGTTTATTTAGCGAGTCTAGTTCGGCCTCAATTGCCTCCTTCCATCTTACCCAATCGGAGCGCTTCCGGCACTCTGTAATTGATTTAGGTTCTGGATCCAGATTATTAGAGATGGTAAAGGCAACTATAGAGGCAAATGTGTCGTCGACGACTATGTTACTTCTATTATAAGTTTCTCCTGTATCAACAAAATTCGTAGCTACTTCAATATTTACATCAACCAGATCTTCATCATTTCCCAATATATTATGATCTGGATGTTCCGCAATCCTAGTAGTTTTATTATTTGTTGCACGTGCATTTAAACTAGGATTTTCGCCTTCTGGACGATTCTCTTCTGGAGATTTCAGGAGTGATTCAATATTTTTATTAAATTTTATTTTCCGCGGATTATTATCTTTTGTACCAACGGGCCTCCCACGCTTCTGGCGTAGAGAATCTTCAGGAATATTAGATTTCTTGGGGACTTCCACTCGTTGTGGAGCATTTATCGAAGGTACATGAGATTTGGTCACTCCTTTATGATCAGTAAATGCATCTGGCAGATTATTTGCTAAATATTGCAAATTAATTATCTTTTGAACTTCAAGTTCAGCTTGATTAGTGCGTGGATCTAAATATTGTAGATTTGGTTCGTTCCAAGAAATTTCTCGGCATTTATTTAAGTTTGGGCTTTTATCTCCCCCTAATGCCGGAAAATTCTCTTCATCGAATATGCAGTCAGCGTACCGAGCTGTAAATTGATCCCCAGTCATGGGCTCTAGGTATTTTAGAATAGACGGAGATTCATAGCCAATATATATACCTAGCTTTCTATGAGGGCCCATAGAGGTACGCTGCGGTGGTGATATAGGAACATAGACTGCACAACCAAACACTCGCAGATGGGAAATGTTAGGTTCTTTACCACGCACTAGTTGTATAGGGGAGTAATCATGATATGCAGTTGGTCGGATTTGAATTAGGGCAGCAGCATGTAAAATTGCATGTCCCCAACATGAAATTGGTAAGTTGGAATTTTGTAACAATGGTCGAGCAATTAATTTGATGCGCTTAATGAGTGATTCGGCTAGACCATTTTGTGTGTGGACATAAGGTACCGGATGCTCCACTTTGATGCCCAATGACATACAATAATCATCAAAAGCTTTCGATGTAAATTCGCCGGCATTATCCATTCTAATGGTTTTAATTTGATAATCAGGAAATTGAGCTCTTAATTCAATAATTTTAGCAAGAAGCTTTGGAAAAGCCTGATTTCTAGTGGATAATAAACACACATATGTCCATCGAGTGGAAGCATCTATCAAGACCATAAAATATCGAAAAGGTCCCGAAGTGGGATGAATAGGACCACATATATCACCTTGAATCCGATGAAGAAACATAGGAGATTCAATTCCAACTTTAGTACGTGAAGGTTTTAATATCAATTTTCCCTTTGCACAAGCATCACAAATAAATTCATTAAAAGAAGGGAGACTGCTGCTTGATACAGTATGCCCAATAGAGTTAGAAATAATCCGACGCATCATACTAAGCCCAGGATGACCCAATCGCTCATGCCATAATTTAAATAAATTTGGGTCTTTAAATTTTAAGCTCAATGCAACATGATTAATAGAGGGTCGAATGTAAGTATGGTATAAGCCTGAGGAGAAAGAGGGAAGTTCTTCTACAATTTTCTTTTGACTTCCTTGTGAATGAGTCATAAGAAGATACTCTATATTATTTTCAGTCTTAGTTTCAAGATGAAAACCATTTGATCGAATATCTTTAAAACTAAGAAGTGTTCTTTGCGATTCAGGGTACAAAAGCGCATCGTTAATTATTAATTCAGTACCCTGAGGAAGAGTAAATAAAGCTCTGCCGGAGCCGACTATCATGATTTTATCATGAGCAATTGTAGAAACACTCCCTTTCTTTTCATTTAAAGTTTGAAAAAATTTCCTATCTTTTAAAATAGTGTGCGTAGTAGCACTGTCGACCAGACATAAAATGCCCTCTTTCTCCATTAGATGCAAACTAATGAATGGTTGTGGTACACTAAAAGAAAAGTAAAATATTATAAGCAAACATAACAATAGTCTCAATCAAATCATAGTATAATAAGCAAAAACGAACCACAAATTTTGGTGATATAAGACATCGTCAAATTCTACAATTTTACAAAAAATATACATATTATCACCAAAAATATGAATCCATAAATGGTATATGAGTTTTATGTAAAGTTAATCTCATATAGCACAACAATTGTCAATTTGTTTGAACAAAATCAAGAATTAATTGAGATGATATGCAACAAAAAGCAAGTTACGAAATATTGCAGTATCCATAAGACGACTTAAACATTGACTGACAATTGTTATCTTATATTAAAAAAAATCCCATGTAATAGAAGAGTATAAACTGGGAAAAAAAATCTTAACAACAATAACAATAACAATTAGCTATAACTAATATGGGCACTGAACAATATAATATTGACTAAAATAAATTGAACTAACAATTAAATAAGCAGAAGTCCTTTAAGCAATTCCCATGTTAAACAGGTTTGTTAAGAATATCTCATATGAGTCTGCAATATTAATTTCCCAGCGTCAACATCATAAGAATTATTTCGGAAATTTAAAAAAAACATCCAAGGCTCCGTTAATTATGTGAAACGAGAATGAAGTTTCAAATTCATTGACGCAATTCATACAGATAATAAACTAGGCAATATCAAACACAATATGATTTCATATATAATAAAAATATCCCAGCAAAATAATTCCACAGGCAATTAGTTCATGTGTAATTGACGCGGAAATCAAGCATAATATGCGGAAATCAAACAATCCCAGCAAATAAAAATATCCCAGCAAACACAATAGGATTACGCATCAATTAGGATATCAAACATAATATGATGCCGAAATCACAAAATATATATACATATGTATGCGGACAAAGGTCATATGCAACAGTAAACTGACGAATTCAAACTAAAACAATATCCCAACTATTTGATCTATAACTCATTCGTCATAGAATTTAGTGATAATATATAAAATAAATGGATCTCATAAATACCTGGAAGAAAAACACGATTTTTTCTTAGGGCAACACCAAAAACGAACTAGAGCGTGCTGATAACGTGTTGTAAATTGGGATCCTCAAGCATTCATCAATCCACACCAAACAAAGTAAAGAGAAACGAGCGAGAGAACAAGAGACAGAAGAGCAGAAAAGTCTATCTTTTATTCATCGTATATCACCCTTATATAGGGTTTACAAGTGGGAAGCCCTAAAACCTAATTCTCCTAACTAATGGACTTCAGGCCCAATTCTATATTAGTAATGTCCACATTCATATATTTATAACAACATGAACTAATATGTAAATATACGATTTATGAGTATTCTTAAAAAAAATCATCATATTCTTTAAAAATCATCATATTCTCAATATTATTTGTCAAAGGAAATTTTAATTCTATATTTTATTGACGAATAAATTTTATACTTTTTTTATTTTTTTACTATTGAATCAATAAATATTCACATTGGTATATGTATGAATAGTGAATACTCGTGATCCAATAAAAAAAGAATAATAATAAAAAATGAAGGAGACATTACCTCAATGGTAGATTGAATTTACTCTTAGGTTTGTTGCTTTATGTACCTACAGATGTTGCGCTTCTCATCATTAAAAAGAAAAAGATACAAAAAATTGAGTAAAGAAAGATGCATATATGGAAGCTTTATTTATATTTATATATAAATATGAATTTAGAGACAGGAAAAAATGTGCAATTTAATTACATAAATAAGAATAGGCAAAAAGTGTGGAGGCACGTTTGGAGATGGGCAAAGTGCACGCATTTATCACCAAAAAGGAAAGTAGCTAAGAGAACTTTGTCTAAAGGAATTTCGAAGCTAATGAAACCAAATCATAAAAGCGACTTGGCGTCTTTTTCCCATTTCCCCATTTTCCATCTATTTTTTTTTTTTTTTATATATATTGAGGAAATCATATATATTATTATAAATTTTGTAATTATTTTTTGTCACGTCTAATAAATTTGTTGTTTTTTGGTTGATTATTGTTTATGTTGTTTTGGATATTTATCATAATTATGTATATCAATGGGTTTTGTTTTGTTTTTATTTGTGTTTATTTTTAATTGTTGAGTACTTTTTGTGAATGGATGTTTTATTTTTCTGTTTTCAAAATTTATTTGATGTTTTATTCATAGTTTATGTTTGGTATATTAAAATTTTTATTTTTGTTGAAAACGAATTTAATTGATTTGTTGTGTATATGTATGGTTTATTTTTTAAACTTGGTTTATCTGTCACATATGTATTGACTTGAGATGACCAATATATACTTCATCTAATTCTTATCAGAGCACGTAAATCATTTTCTAGGATGATGGAACCTTTTATTAGTACTATCTCATGACTGGCAAGAAAACAGAAGCTCCTGAACAGAATAAAGCACAGAAAACTCTTGGGAGTCCACAAGGCACAAGTCACTTTCTAATGAAAACATTTATTGAATACCTACCATTTGGATCCTTAACACCCACCCAGAATAACCAACAACCGTAAACAGACCTTTCAGCATAAGATACTCTCAATCACTTCAATATCCCAGACATTCATACACTATATGTANTTTGTAATAACCGACGTAAATCAAGCGGAAAACAAGGAGTGGAGGTTGGAATGATATGGTAACTGATATTAGACATTTTTAGATAAATCTTATCTTTTAGGTAAAGACGCAATTAATTGTATTTGTATAGTAAATTAGCAAAATTTTCTTAATCGTGTAGGAGAGATAAAAATTTCACGATAAAAATTATGCAATATATTTTGGACAACATTAATCGCAATTCACTTCGTTAAAACTACGTATTAAACAAATCCAGGTTTTTGGATGGTTTGAACTCAATTTTTAGGTCCAAATTGCATTGTCCTTTGTGGCCCATCTCAGTGCCCCAACGGGTCGGACTAGACCCTGCTGCCCAAGAAGCCGGGGTACTATTTTAGGTTAATTTTAAAGTAATTTAAATATATCTAAATACCGGTAAATAGAACAATAAGAATAAGCTGACACGAAGAATTAAATGTAAGAGAAAACGTAGTCTAATTATATAAATCCTTGGTGTTATAAGGTAGGATAAAGGGGTAATCATATGTTAATCATTCGTTTGGTAGTTATGATGATAGTGGAAATAATTCAGTATTATTCAGTATCATATTTCAGCAGTTATATATAGAAAATTATCATGTAGATATATAATATAACTTGTATGCAAATAATATCACAATTTATTGTTAAAAAATATCATCATACAATTAAAAATAGCAGGGTTCATATGGTTCTTACTCTATATCTAGTTTTTATTAAAAATATACCATGTATTTATAAATGAGAATACTGCATGTTCTAGAGTTACATATNAAAAGACATACCAAACATATAGCGCAAATCATTTTTTTATTTAAAAAAATAAATAGCTGCGCCAAGCTTCTTAAATAATAAATACTATATATTGGCACTACATGTACTAAGATGTATGGTGTGGAGAAAGGAACAAAAAATATTTTGTCTCCAATGGTTAATCTCAATTGTCGAATAATTTGACACTTGTAATATAATAATTGGTTGGTAGAAACATAAATATAAAAATAATTTAATATAAAATGAAAGATGTCTAGAAGTCTTTCTATGACTAGAAAGACTTCTAGATTTATTGAATGCCACATTGGATTTTGGAGACTAGGTGGCAATATAAGAGAGATATCCATGTACTATTAGAGATGCTCTAAGTAGTCCAACCATGACAATCATTGTGTTACTAAAATCGTAAAATAGACGTCTACGTAAACAAAAACTTTATAGTATTCTTTAATTTACGATGTTTTACGATAATATATGTAACAAAGAAAAAAAAATTAACAATTATTAATGACTTTACATGACGTAGTTTTGATGATTTCATAGCAAAATTAGAAAAATATATATATTAATGGAAAAGTCATACAACTCAAATCTTGTGAAATTTATTTAAATTATTGTCTAAAAAAGCATTTTAATATAAAAACATGTACATATTTGTTTTAGGTAAGACAATATTCTTCACATAACATTGTTCAAAGCCAATGATTAAACAATCAAATCAATATGTATTCATAAAAGTTTCCTCAATATTTGACCAAATTCTGTCAGACTAACCTCATCAATACCAAGAAAGGACAGATTTGAAGACTGAAGTGATTCCCTAACTGATCCAAGTCAAATTTCATCATACTCTTGAAAAATATTTTCCATAACAAACTCTAAATTTTCAAATGTACACCATAAAATAAAAGTAAAATTCTCCCAAATCCATACAAAATTTTATATTCATGCAAAATCAGATGTGCCCCACCCAAATCTCAGTGATGAGAAATAGAACTTTGAGGAGTGTTTTTGAAGTCTCTCTCTCTGTAAATTTCAATTATAAATAAGACAGCCCATTTCTCATCTTTTTCATTCATTGCCATTTACTTCCAACCCCTTAAAAAAAAAACAAACCAAGCCATGAACTTTATATTAGGCTAAGGAGCCTAAACAAAAGCAAGAAAAACAGCCTAAGCAAAAGTGTTTCTTGTTTTCTCTTCTTTTTCTTCTTCTTCTTCTTTTTTTTTTT